TTGTTTATTTCTCCATTTGCTGTTCCATGTTGCTGTACTTGTCTGTGAGAATGGGGGCACTTATCAGTACTTACACCCCTTTTCTCTGTCCACTCCTCTCCCCATCTTTCTCCTTCTCAGATCTGCTTTTCCACCCCCCTCCACACCTCCCTTCTCTCTTCTCTTCTAACCCATTCTACCTGCCCCCCTCCCCTCTAAGCTTCTCTTTGTCATTACTACTTTATTCTACCCCCTTCTCTTTGACCCAGGTCTCCTTATGTTCTTCTTCTACCTCATCTCTTCTTTCTGGCTCCTCCCCCACTATCTTTCTTCCCCCCTCCCCTCCCACCTCGTTCCTGACCTGGCCTTCTCTCTGCTTTGCCCCTAAATATGCTGTAACATCCGTCTCCCCAAAATCCTGTGTCTTAGAGGTGGGGGGAGGGAATCAAAGCTCACAGAGAGACAGTGTTGTCCAGCAGATCAGACACCTGAGTTGTATTCCTGGTTTGGCCACTGGCCTTCTGTGTGACCATGTGCAAGTCACTTTGCCTCTCTCTCCCTTCCACTGGTTGTCTTTCCTGTCAATGTAGACTGGGAACTCTGAGCAAGGGACTCTCTCTCATTGTGAATATAGTATGGAAGAATACACAGAACACCTAGTGCATTTGGACCATGATCGTGGCTGGAGCCCCAAGGCACTACCATAGTACAAATAATACCCCTCCCCCAAATAAATAAATAAAATTATGTTGCTGTACAGGAGCCCCTCCACCCAAAAATTTCAGTGCAAGAGCGGTGCAGAATCCCCAGGTAGCCAGTTACACTGACTTTCCAGCAATTTTGTGCAGCTGGAGCAACGGCCAGTATGTCTATCAAATACTTTTTCAGCCAACCAAACTGCTTCTATAACTTTACTTGATCCAGCTTGCAATGGCGTTTGTGGGAGTCTCAATCAACTCCAGGATTGGGCCCACCCGGCTGGTGGGAACTGGGATGTTAAAGAGTCTCACTTCCCTTGGGTGTCCTAGAGCATTAAATTCTCATATTAAAGTTTTACTCAAAGAAGACACTTCCATATAGGGAACATGATGCAACCAGAAAGTCAACTTGCTTCCTGAAATCTCAGAAAAATATACTATTTGGAAGATACCTCATAAAATAATGATAGAACTTTCAGAACACATTCTACTGTGAAATATGCCACAGATGTTCAAACATACAAGAGAAAAATAGTGAACTGTGTCCTGTAAATAAAATGTGATCTTGCCTGACCTCCTGAATAACCAGCCAAAGAACAAATTTCTGGGCCAGAAGAGATAAAAGGATTAACCTGTAATAAGCCATAAAAATTCCATATGTGAACCAAAGTGAGTTGAAATAGAATTTATGTGCAACCTTTCTAGATAGAAGGGGGAAAACGCTCATATCTGGAGCTAAAACGAATAATAATATACTGTAAGGTATATCCTACAGTCACTGGATTATTTGTAATACTGAAACACTAATGCAAAGCTTCCAAACAGAAGCAACTATTGCATATGCCCAATGTATCAGACCAACAGTATTTAATAAAAATAAGTTGGGCAACACATATATAATCAAGGCACAAAGATTTCTATAGCAGAGGCACAAGGTGACAATTTCAGTAAGGCAGGCCATAACTTTTTAGACTCTACCCTGATGAAGAGTTCACACGGCTAGTTCTGTTATACCACGGACAATTCATTTCTGCACTTGCATGCCTTGTATATTCAATTCTACGCTTGCATGCCTTTTTAGTCCTCCATGCAAAAATGCACTAGATTATTGAATTGAGTTAATGTTTCCATATAGGTCCCCAAACTGTGAGGTGTGCCCCCATAGGGTGGTACGGAGGAAATGGGGGGGCACACAGTCCCACTCCACTACAGACCAGCTCCGCCTCCAACCCCGTTCAGCCCCTCCCCCCCCGCCCCGTCCTGCTCTGCCTCCAGGTCCAGCTCTGCCCTCACTCCTTTTCCTCCCCCAGCTCCATTCCACCCCTGCTCCAGCCCCAGCTCAGCTGTGCCCTCATTCACTTTCCATCCCCAGACCAGCTCCACCTTTTGCACAGGCACCAACTTTCTGATTTCCCTGGGGGTGCTTGACCCTCGCTCCTCCCCAGGCCATGCCCGCACTCCTTCCCTTCTCTCAATGCCCCACCCCCATTCTGTCTCTTCCTGCCCCCTTCCATCCCCTCCCTCAAGTGTACCCTGCCCTTGTTCCACCTCTTCCTGCCCCTCCCCCTCAGCCCCCAGCGCCTCCTGCCCGCTGCTGAACAGCTGATCAGCAGTGGGCAGGAGGTGCTGGGGGGGAGGCGGGAGGGAGGAACTGATTGGTAGGGCCCACCAGTGGGTGCTGAGCACCTACTTTTTTTTCCTAGTGGGTGCACTGGAGCACCCACAGAGTCAGCGCCTATCCCCCTATCCCCAGCTCCTTCCCAATTCTGCCTCCAGCTCCAGTTCCATCTTCAGCCCAAGCTCCGCAGCTGAGGAAACTTTGGCTGTGCAGTAATGGAGGGGGGAGGAAGACAGATTCCATTATTGGTGGTGGGAGGGGAACAACTAGAAAAGTTTGAGCACCACTGCCATATAGCTGTAATCTAATTGATTTTGTCTGCATGTGTAAAGTTTTAGTAGATGCATGGTATCAGAACACAAACCTCAAGGAACTATGTTAAACATCGATAGGCACTTATCCCAGTCATCTGCCAGAAATGTACACGATGCCTCATTTTAATAATGATTGAATCATTGAGTTGCACAAAGAGCCGTGTTCCTGTCTTTACTTACATAATCAGAAGTCCCTATTAAAACCTTGTATGTTCTGTTCTACACCTGCATGCCTTTTTGTGACTAAATAGCATCCTCCATGCACTGTGCTACAGAACAAAATGGCATCCTCCATGAGCATTTGGGGGGGGGGGGGCAGACAGAATCGTCTCAGAGGCCGCCAACTGGATGACATTGTAATTCTGGAGAATGCAATACATGCGTGGCATATATAGACAGCATGCCCCGTAAAAGACCAAAGTTTTTTAAGTCCACAATAAAGAACACTGTCCCATCAAGGAGTAACTTTTAAATATATTCTTGTACCAGGAGATATGCTTTTATCACTGGAAATTGCAACTGGTCACAAGTCACAATGTGTTGTTTCTTTTCTCTAATTCAGACTTCAATTCACCAAAGCATTGAAACACCTATATAATCCTTTTTCTGTTCAGCAAAGCAATTAAGCATACACCAGAGCGTTACCAGCTCATGATTTCATTGTGAATCTTGTGCTATTTGGTATGTTCCTTAAAGCCCCAGCGCCTGGAGTCATGTGGTTATGTGAGAATCGATGCTTTCATTTTTAAGTAAGTTTCTAGCCTTTTATCTTTGTGGAGAAAAACTTGAAAATGTGACCCTTAAAGGCTCAGAAAACAGAAGGCAAAGACAAAGAAACCAAAACTTACTATTTTTTTAAATCTCATATGGAAACACAGCTATGATGGTTACCCAAGGAAACACTTTTTCAGTGTTCAGCCAGTAATGTATACAAATAAGTGTGATACTGAGAAATTTGCAGTCATGCTATATCATCACATGGGGTTAAGAGATGAATACTGATGCTGTCCATCCCATCTACCTGCCACATATATCCACCCATCACCATGGTATTTGAACATTGTTACAGAAGCCTTTAAACAACAAAAGAAACGTACTAACTTTATCGTTCTTCTAGCAGTTAGATTTGGAATTAAGTCTTTTGTTGACTTTAGCTAAATCATTCCTCTTTTTCCTGTAATTCAGTATTGCTGACATCCAGCATTAAAAAAGCATGAGTCTGGCCACAAAAAATAATGAGACTGACTTAAAAACCATGACATTTTAAAAATAATAATTTGGGGTTAATTTTTATTTACCTTCTGGTGGCAGGGAATTTTGGTTCACATTTTCAAGCTTTCGTTTACATCCCTGTCGGCTAGAATTTACTTTATTAACAATTAAAACGGAGATTCTCAGGTAATAACAAATCCAGGAGCTTTAAGAAAAATCCCAAATTACAAGAAACTCACAATAAAACCATGAGAGCTGGCCACCTTGATACTTTTCTGTGAAATAGCATTGTGTCCAGTTATCACAAGGTGTGTCTCATTTAACTACACAAATCTCTATCCCGTTGATGTGTTTTTGGTATTCAGTGCAAACTTTGGATAATACAATGCTTTGCTGTGCAACGTTGAGTTTTCAGTTGCATTTAGAACTGTTTAGTAAAGCATGCCATTGAAAATAAACCAGTGTTTGCTGCATAATATACTTGAGGTCTACTTGCCTTCAGATGTGTAAGATGGGATGTACCTGAATATTTAGCCTGCTAAAATGCTAAATTACAATTTCACCACCAGGTGGCAGTGTTCATTCATTCACACATCTTCCACTGGAACTCACCTCAGTATAGAGAACTAAGGAAAGTCTCCACACATCACTCTAAGTCCCTGGCTGTGTATTTAAAGAGGTCCTCCCACCATCTGTTTCTAGAAAGGACAGTCAGAGAGTGGCTCCTGCCTCCCATCCGCATCTGCTCCCACTGCGGAGTGCTGTGGGGAAGAGGAATCTGACTCTGTCATCTGTGAAAAATGTCACACAGGAAGCCACCCAAACACTTGGCGGCTCTCAGTAACCCCACACAGTTAAAAATCACAACAATTGGGACAGAAGGAGCGCTGAAACAATCAATATCTATAAAGCAAAATTCCACCATATCATTTTTCCTGTTACATACACAAAACATGTTTAGTTCAATGCATACACATACATCAACAGCTGGTTTGCAGTGAAGAACAGCGAGCACCACCATCCCTATTATCATACATGGTCAAATATCATTAATTCAGCCAGTCGGGAACAGATTCTATTGATCAGTCCTTGACTGAGGCGATACTCCATTCACTTTAAAGGAAGTTGCCCCAGAGCTCCTGATGGGACTAAATAAGGAGGTATTTCAGACATTACACTTTGACCCCTCTTCTTGCTCCTTCTTTTCCGTTGACTCCTGGGGGAAAAAAGTCTGGCTCAAAGATACAGAATAAGATGATGACACTTAAATCTTTTGTTTTCCTTGTTCTGCAGTCTGCAGAGCTCTAGTTACACTCCCCCGCCCCACAATGAGATGACAAGGTAATATAGGTCAAAGCAAGAGGAGCAAATTGCATGAAGAGAGGAATGCAAACATTCACACTTATTTCATTATGTTTTGCAGAAGGTAATAAAAGTTTGATCCAATACTATGCAGACCAGAAATGGAAACTATTTCACATGACCAAGGCCTTGGTACCAAAGGTTAATCTCCAAATCACATGATAGGGTTATTCTCCCCTTAACACACTACTGGTACACTCAGGTTTAGTTCAGAGTTTAAAAGTTAAACATAAGCCTCAGTTCAAGAGGACAATGAAGGTGTCTTGCATACAGTCCCATAAGCAATGTTACTAGCATTCACAAATTGATCACAGATCTCACAGCATTTTTTGTTTTCCATTCAAGCCCCAGCTCCTGAAGTCAGGTGATTACATGAGAAATTCAGCTTTCATTTAAAACAAGAGTACCTTTATAATCCACATTCAGAGTCACATTTTCAAGCTATTCTCCAGAACAAACACTCAAAAACCACAAGGCAAATAAAAAGACATTTTGTTTTTTAATCTCCTGATTTTTAAGACAGTCTCATTATTTTCTGAGGCCTGACTTGTGATTTTTGAATGCTTGGGATTGGCAGTATTCCATGAAGACAAAGTATAACAAATCACAACAGTTGTGAACAATCAAAATCTTTTTTGTTTTGTTCAATTTCCTGTTTATATTCATATCCATGACAGTAATTTTAAAATGGATTTATAGGCCTTTTTCTGTGGTGCTGCTTATTGTGCTGTATTAGCAATTTATAAATATTAATGAATGTATCCTCATTACACCTCTGTGAAGCAGGATGGTAGTGTTATCACTATTTTACAGATGAGAAATAGACAGGTAGACTGAGACCCTGAGTCTGCAAATAAGTTGCTTACCTAGACTACTGCAATTGAAATCAGTGGGGTTATTCATGGTAGTAAAGTTAAGCATTGTACATAAACATTTTCAGGATCAGGGCCTGTTATGGTCAGATTTTTAGAGATATTTAAGCATTGCTCTACTCAGTGTTGCAACACGTAACAGATGTGGAAGCCTAAGTACCACTGACTTTCAATGAGACTTAGGTGTCTACATCAGTGACATCTTGCAGTGCTGAGAAGAACAATGTCTAAATAAGTTCAAAAATATGGGCCTAAGAGACTTGCCCAAGGTCATGCAGGAAATTTAACTTGTGAAAGAGCCAGACATTGAGCTCAAATCTTCTGAGTTCCAGTCTAGTGGGTTAACAATATGATCTGCCTTCTTCTCTAAGGAAACGTTGCTAGTTCAAATATAACAAGTGTTGTGAGCTTTCACAACTGAATTGCACTGCAGCATAGAACCCATTTGGAATATGTGTCCTTTCTCCCAACCCCTTGCCAAAAATCCCATACTGCATCTCCATCTGTGATGACTTAGACCTCAAGCCTGCAAACACTATAATGCTTAACTGTACTTACTGAGTAGGTCTTTTAAATCAATGGAGCTAGTCACATGAATAAAGTTATGCGCATGGAAAAAGTTTGCTAGATCAGGGTCTTAGCATCAAGGAGCATCATCTGTCTAATGTGCTAGCCAAATATATCTGTAAGCAGAATTCTGCTCCTTTCAACATGTCATTCTACCAAGATAAAGAGTGTGACTCTAGCATGGAGTTTGTTATAGAAAAGGGCTGTACATTATTATTAATTTCAGGGGACATAAACCACATTTCTCCTCCCTAGCCCCCACATTTTTCTGTGAAACACATGTGGGTGCTTCTTCCCAGAAACAACAATAAAAACAAAAGCAGATGTTGACAAGTTAATTAGAGAATACAAGTTCAAACACACCCAGAATGGGGTGTGAACAAATGCATAATGCACCACTATTGATCACTGAGCAAACATGCTACTGGCTAGTCATTGCTTTTAATATTTTCAAGAACGGCTTTCTGATTTTAGGTGGCCCAGTTTTGAGGGGAGACGCTGACACATCTTGGCCCTGATTTCCAAGAGTACACAGCCCCCAAATCCCCCCAGTTGATACTCTAGTTGCCCAGCACTTTCTGTACATCAGGCAACAGCTGTCAAAAGTTGGGATCCAAAATTTGAGGGACTCAGTCAGCACGTTTGAAAATGTTGGCCTTAGTGACAATTCATAAGAATATATTTGTGTTATTAATCACATTGATCTTTATTACAATAGTGCCCAGACTCCAACCAAACCCCACTGTGCTAGGCACTGTACAAACTAAAAGTCATAGATAGTCTCAGCCCCAAAGAACTTACAATTGAAATAAAACATCAGAAAAGGTGTAGCAAAATAAATAATCTTGTAAAAAAAAATCTCATTTCTTATCCTACAACAGAAATTTAAGAAGAGGCTAATTTAGGGTCCTCCTACACTGGTATCCTTTCTTCTTAACCAACCAATACCAGACGTGTCAGTGGAGGGTGTAAAAATCCGCACAAAACATCCAAATGATCAAATTTCGTACCACAGAGGAAATTTCTCGCTGGCCCCAACTGACTAAATTGGATTTTGCGCTTACGCTTGAGCACTGATAACCCCAGTGATGTGATCCTGGCTACTAGATCAGTGCAGTAGAATTTGTTTTCATCTGAAATTTGCAATCATTTTTTGAAGATTGTGATATTGTTCACTTTAATATCCTGCAGGGGGGTGTTCCATGGGTTAATTAAGTATAATCTAAAAAGGGAGTTCCGTTTTAAATGTGTTGCCTCTAAATTCAATTAAGTGTCCCTGTGAATAAAGCAACCTTCCTCTTACCCTTATGTGGATTAAGCTGCATTTGATACAACCCAAAACTTCCATTTTGTGGGGAAATCAGTTCAGGGGCTATACCGTGATCAAACAGGTGAAGCTCAAGCACAGTACACTTCCGATTCATTACCAGTCACAGGATGAGGTCCAAGGAATGAACCTAATTTAACAGCTTCGGATGATAACAGTGCCTTTTATCACAACAGCCACTGAGCAGAAACATGGCAGCTTTTTATAAGAATATGGCAGCATCACAAAGCAGCAGTGGGGAAGACTACCTTTCAAAACACTGATATCACATTCAGAAGAAGTTAGGTGGGGAGAATATAATCACCCAAACTGAAGTCTGGCCAGGGATAACACCCGATTTTTGCAGAAGTGCCATGACTACTTTAATGACCATCCACAGTAAAGAGCTCAGCTTCACATCTTCTTTGAACATGGGAACCTCCAGCATGGAAAGTTTCCTCAGACATCAGACAGCATTATGTAATGCTGACGCTACACATAAAGCCACCACTACCCATTCTTCTCCATTCTTCTAGCACTTTGGTTTCCATTCTAAGCCCCCCACTTAGCTTGTGAAAGCTGTCACATTTGAAGCCAAAGGTGGCAAGAATAGCATCTACTTCAGAATCACACACTTTGAACTTACTATAAATTGACAGTAGGCAGATATTATTGGACAACAATATCAATACGATTCCTTAAAAGAGTTATTATACTAAGGCTCGTCAGACACCCAGCTTTTTTCCAGAGGTTTTTCTTGCTCCAGCACCCCCCCACACACATGCCACCTTCTGATGCTAGGAGAAAACATAACTGAAATCAAAATACTTACTGACTAGAAGGAAGAAAGGTGCAGCTTGCAGCACTCTGCCAAAGGAAAAATAAAAATGGCCTCCTTAGGGGGTGCAAAAGCCTGTGTCTCTGAGATTTAAAGGGGCAACTACAAAATGCTTGGCTCTCCCAGATTTAAAGGGCCAGGTGTCAGAAAAGTCTTTGTTGGGAAATACCCTTATAAAATGCTAACAGTGGTGACTGGGAAGCTAAGGAGATTCTAATATGCCAGTTAAAAGGGCTTCACTTGTACTGCTGCTCCATTATCCTCACATTGTCCCTTCAGTCTCCTATGCTCACTCATAGACACATAGCATGCCACTGCTCCATTCTCTCTGACACACTAGAACCCCTGCTACGGATGGCCAGAGAGCAACAATTCAAATTCATGACAATTTATGAGATTTTGACATTTGTTTTGATTCTACCCTGGAATGAAACCAAAACCTTTCTAACGTTTTTACATAAGCAGAATTGTCAAAATGTCCATTTTCAGATTGAAACTTGACCTCTGTGACTGGGGAATGTACTTGTGTGCAGCCTTGTCGTTAGGCAAATAGCTGGGGATGTGGGAAACCCAGGTTCAAGTCCTGGATATGCCTGATTCAGAGCAAAGTTCTCCATTCCAGATCACTCTGAATGAGGCAGAGTAGGGACTAGACTGTGGGTCTCCCACATCCCCACTTCATGGCCTAACCACTGGGCTGTAGAACATAAGACCATACATTTTTGATCTCAAAAAAAAAAAAAAAGAAGAGTAATGGGAGTGAAATCAGAACTCCTGATTTACACTGTCAGAATGGGCCTGTGGCTCCGCCCTCAAATGGACTGGCTTCCCGGGCAAATTCCAGGCTGTCTTCTGGGAGGTGGCCCTTCCCATGCTCCACCCCAAGGCCCCATTCCCGCTTGGCCTCTTCCCCCAAGGCCCCGCCCATGCTACTCCTCTTCCCCCAAGGCCCCGCCCTTGCTCCACCTCTTCCTGCCCCTGCTCCGCCCCTCCCTTGAGCCCCCTCACCTGCTGCATGTGCCTCTTGACCCATTCCCCTGCTGTCACTTGCCCTTAAGGCAGGGAAAAAATGACGGGGGCAGAGAGGAGCGAGTGGCAGGCAAGGTGGCCTCGTGGGAAGGGGCGGAAAGGAGCAAGCAGCAGGTGGGGGACTTCGGGGAAGAGGCAGAGCAGGGGCATGAAGACACAGAGTGTGGTGGCGCCTCGGGGAAGAGGTCAAGCAGGATTGGTGCCCCAAGGCCAGGCAGGGGTGGAGCGCATCCAGGGCCTCAGGGGGAGGAGGCCAAGCAGGGCCTCAGGGCGGAGGGGGACAAAGCCACAGTCTGGGTGCCAGTGGCTTCCCCCCGCTTCTAGGGTACTTCCAGCGCTCATGCCCAACCTGCCCAAATGCAGGAGTCACCCTATGTATTACTGCCTATGGTAATGCACTATTAGGAATGAATGTATCCTGTTAATTAAGTCTATGCTCTAGAATGCACCTTATGGTTTTATTTCCCATGTAGCCATTTGTTTCCAATACTTGCTACTACTTGAAGCTCTGTGCTTTGTTAAATAAACTTATACTTGATTTCACTATGTACAAATCTAAGCCCTGTGTTTTAAGCAGAGTGGTGATCTGAGGTGGAACTGGCAAACTGGAATGCACTGCTTCTTTGGAAGTAGCAGATCAGAGAATACTGCCTGTGTCCTCCAGGTAGATGCTCACAGGGCTTGAGGGTTGGCATGTGCCTATCACTAACCATTAGAGTGACAGCAGGACCTGCAAGGCCCATAGGGAAAAGCGTGTGTTGCCTGTGGCTCGTGGCTCTGACCCCTGGAAGGCACAGACAAGGCTTTCTCTTGCTAAGGGCAGGCGGTAGCAAGGTCCCTCACAACCGTGGGTAGCATCACAGGCTGAACGAAAAGCTGTTGGATTCTGGGGAAAGTTCTCAGGGCCCGATCTCCTTACTCCAGTAGGTGTGCAACTCTCATTGACTTCAGTAGAAATGCTTCCTGCATATGGCTTCCTGGATAGGACTTTCTTTTCACTGAGCTGGTATGAAAAGGTTGGGAACTAGCTTTCAAACGTATAAAGCAAGAGCATTGTCCTGCTATGGTGTTAATTCATAGGGCTGGGTTATTCTGCTGAGAATAAATGTTTAGGTGGACTAATTCCACCCCATTTTACAATCCCTGCCCAAAGTGCATCTTGTCTAGCAAGAATAGTATTTTTTTCATATAACATCTCTCCGCAGCACACCTGTCATGTGAATTATGAGTAACTCAGTGCTCTTGTACCATGCAAGTGAACACAGGACACAGCCCATAATTTAGATTTAACGAGGCAGTTTTTGCAAAGATATAAGCAGCTGCTAATTAAAACCATTTGACAATGAATAGTTATGTCCCTAAAATAATCTGACAATGTTATTATTGGAAAACATGAACAGAGCTCATTTTGCTTTTTCTAGAAATCTAAAGTTCGAAACATAAGAATGGCACCCCAAAATTACACTGCAAAAATGTATTTAAAGATAAAAACTGAAGTGATTTGGGGTGCCTCTACATTACCCCGGGCATGGAGCCCCTTCATGCTACAGGCATATCATAAGGCACTTGAGAACCAGGCACACGAATGTTTCGCCGCACACTCCACAGGAAACTTCTACGTGAGGGGAAGCTGGGAATAGGGCTTGCAGTTCTGTCAGACTTGGGTGTGGCTTCACCTACACCAGAAGTTGTGGCATGGAAAGAAGAAAAGATAGACAGATACATTTAGCTGGGTGCAGTTTCCAGTCAGTGTGGGAGATAGGATTAAGTGGGAGTGAGAGAGAATCATAAGCGCAGGGAGCAGAACTGGGATAAATGCTAATGAGAGAGAAAGAGGGAGCATGGTGCAAGAGCAATGAGGGGCACTTTAAAAACACTCATCATTTTTCAGCCAGCAGCCTCGCTCTCCTCTCTGTGCTTACAGTGGTGGTTGGAATGTTTTCTGGGGAGTGTTCTTCAGCCTGAGCCAAGGGCTCTGCCAGAGACTGGAACACGCTGATATGTTCCAGCTCAGTGGCCCACCATGAGGGAGCAAAGCACGTTACTGAGTGTGGGTGAGGGCTGATATTATTACACTGATTTAACAGAGGGGAAAACCAAAGCTACAGAGAGAGTCAGCAGCATAGCCATAACTAGACCCCAAAACTCTTTTCTCCCAGGGCCCTACTCTAACAATTAGGTAGCCCTATTTTTAGTATTTCTTGCAAGCTTGTTCTGACATCAATTAATATACGTGATGTGCTCTGTGATTCAAAAGGGAGCTAGTTGGGCAGTTTAGGGATCAATTGGGAACCGCCTAAACCTCAAGCCTAATAGAACTCCCTGCAGTCCCCCACTTGATTTGAAACATGGCCACTGACTATCGGTAGTCAGTTTTCTGTTTGCATGAGAGTCATTTAGTCCAAGTCCTACATGAATTATTTTTTCCAATATGATTTTATGAGACGCAGTATTGCAAGCTTTACTAAAATCCAGCAGCCATCTTCTTTTTAAACATAACTCTCTAGGGGATTGAATGGGCAGTTCTGCTTAAAAACTAATGGCCCAAAGCGTATTACTTCTACTGCACTGCTGCATCCACTAATTTCAGAGAGACAAGGTGGGTGAGGTAATATTTTGTATTAGATCAGCTTCTGTTGGTGAAAGAGACAAGCTTGCAAGGGACACCGAGCTCTTCTTCAGGTCTGGGAAAGGTACTCAGAATGTCACAGCTAAATAAAAAGTTGAACAGATTGTTTAGCATAAGTAGTTAACACATATTGTAAGAGACCATTCAAGGTGAAGTGGCCATTATCACCTGTGCAGTCATAGGTCAAAAAGAGGGGTTAGTGGGTTACAGATTGGTGTAATAAGCCATAGATCCAGTGTCTTTATGAAAACTATATCTAGTCTCTAGCAAAGTTATGAATTTAAGCTCTCAGGCTCGTCGTTTGAAAGTGTTGTGCAGGTTTCCTTTGAGACTGAAGACTGATAGGTCAGATATGGAGTGATTGCGCTGTAAAAAGTGTTCACCCACAGGTGTTTTTGCCTTTTATCATTTTCCTCTGTGAGTTCATTGAAGAGCGTAGTGATTGTCTGATTTCACCTACATATTTGTTATTGGGGCATTCAGTGCACTGGATGAAGTACACCACAGGTTGTGACGGATGTGTGTAGGATCCATAGATCTTGAAAGGTGTGTTGTGGATTGTATTGATGATTGTAGTAGTGGAGCTATGTCTCCAGGTTTTGCATCTGGTGTTATGGCAGAGTCTAGTGCCCCTTTAAGTGAATGTGTCCAGGTCTCGGCGGAGTTTGCTTCTGGTGATGAGCTTGGTGAGGTTGGGGATTGTTTGAAGGCCAGAAGAAGGGATCAGAAATCAGAAAAGATTTCTTTCAGGATGTGGTCCCCATTGAGTATGGGTTGATAGATGACAACTAGGGGTGTGCGGTTAGAGGTGGGCTTTTTTTTTGTATTGAAGCAGTTCTCTTGGGATATTTGAGTGGCCCATTCCATGATGCGACCTACTTCTCTGGTGGAGTGTCCTTGTTTGTTTGGTGAAGGCAGTTTTACATGTTCTAAGGCAGGGGTAGACAACCTATGGCATGCGTGCCAAAGGCAGCTTGCAAGCTGATTTTCAGTGGTACTCACACTGCCCGGGTCCTGGCCACCGGTCGGGGGGAGCTCTGCATTTTAATTTAATTTTAAATGAAGCTTCTTAAACATTTTGAAAATCTTATTTACTTATATAACTAAACTATTGTTGTATGTAATTATAGACTTGTAGAAAGAGACCTTCTAAAAACATTAAAATGTATTACTGGCACGTGAAACCTTAAATTAGAGTGAATAAATGAAGACTCGGCACACCACTTCTGAAAGGTTGTCGACCCCTGTTCTAAGGTGTGTATCCTGGATTTTCTCTTCTGACCATATTCTTGGTATCTGAATGCGTGGCGGTAGATAGATTCCTTGGTGTGTTTGTGGTGGTTACTGGCTCTGTGAAGGTAAGGGTGGTGATCTGTGGTTTCTCATACTGTATATAGTTGTCTGTGGGGTTCCATTGTTAAAGCTCATCATAGGGCTTGGCTACACTTGCAAGTTAGAGTGCATTAAAGCAGCCCCAGGTGCCCTAAGTCCCGACCCGTCCACACTGGCAAGGCATGTATAGCGCCTGGACTCTGCAGCTGGAGCGCTCCTGGTAATCCACCTCCACGAGAAGCATAACGCCTGCTGCACCTGGGTTGAAATGCCCCAGTGTTAGTGTGAACGAGGGGTTGCATTACTGCGCTGTGATTGGCCTCCGGATACGTCCCGTAATCCCCTTAAGTCAAGTGGCCACTTTTGTCATTGTTTTGAACTCAGCTGTAGGAATGCGGATATCCCCTTTCAAAGCTCTGTTTCTGACAGCCAGCTGCTTATCTGCTCCGTGACAAAGCAAACCATTACTGTGGAATGTTGCTGCTGTGAGTGTGTGTGTGGGGGGGAGGGAGGTTGGTCTGCTGATGTCTTTTCTCACCCACCTTTTCTCTCTAATATCACAGGACCAACGTGGCTACAACACCACTGCAAATCCACTAATTTTGTAATCCTGTAAAATATAGGATTGCCAGACTGGATCACAGCAGTGGTCCATCTAATCTAACGGTGGTTAATAGCAGCTGTTAGAGATAGACTTGTACCTAGAAGCATGAGGATTTATATCCCTTTCAAAACTTGTGTGTATGTTTTTTTTTAAATATTCACTACTATAAATATGGATGTTCTTGTTAGAAATATGATGCTCAGGGTGCGTTTTTTTTTTTACAGTACCTCCAGACTGTTGACCTCATGATATCTTGTGACAATGAGTTCCACAGGTTACTCATTTGTTCTGTGAAAAAACATTTCCTTGTATCAGTTTTGAAACTGCCACCTTTCTGTTTCATTGAATGTCTCCTTGATATATCAGTCTCTGACAAGATACTTAACACAATTAATATTAACAATGAGGGGAAAGGAAAGCAACCCCAAATAAGGAAATAACAGACTAAAGACTATTCAGATATATTAGATGCATTCAGGCCAGCAGGGCCTGATGAAATTCCCCCCTAGGATATTTAACACCTATTTGTAGCAATCTCAGACCATTAACAATTATCTTTGAGAACTCATGGAGGATGGGTGAGGTCCCAGATGACTGGAGAAGGGAAAACACAGAACCTATATTTAAAAAGGAGAACATATAGGACCTGGGGAAGTATAGACCATCAACTTAACTTAAAACACGGAAAGATACTGGAAGAAATTATTAAACAATCAATTTGTAAGCACCTAGGGGGTAATATGTTGATAAATAATAGCAATATGAATTTGTCAAGAAAAAACAAATCATGCCAAACCAACAAAATTTCCTTCTTTGACAGGGTTACTGGTCAAGTGGACGGGGGGGAGCAGTAGATTTTAGTAAGGCTTTTGACATAGTCCTGCATGACATTCTGAAAGCAAAATAGGGAAATGTGATCTAGAATTACTATAAGGTTAGTGCAAAACTGGTTGAAAGAGCATACTCAAAGAAAAGGAGTACTTGTGGCACCTTAGAGACTAACCAATTTATTTGAGCATAAGCTTTCGTGAGCTACAGCTCACTTCATCGGATGCATACTGTGGAAATTGCAGAAGACATTATATACACAGAGACCATGAAACAATACCTCCTCCCACCCCACTCTCCTGCTGGTAATAGTTTATCTAAAGTGATCACTCTCCTTACAATGTGTAAATGTGGTCACTTTGGATGGGCTATTACCAGCAGGAGAGTGAGTTTCTGTGTGGGGGGGGCGGAGGGTGAGAAAACCTGGATTTGTGCTGGAAATGGCCCAACTTGATTATCATACACATTGTAAAGAGAGTGATCACTTTAGATAAGCTATTACCAGCAGGAGAGTGGGGTGGGAGGAGGTATTGTTTCATGGTCTCTGTGTATATAATGTCTTCTCCAGTTTCCACAGTATGTATCCGATGAAGTGAGTCATACTCAAAGAGTAGTTATCAATGGTTTGCTGTCAAATTGGGAGGGTATGTCCAGTGGCATTCCACAGAGGTTTGTTCTGGGTCTAGTAGTAGTCAATATTTTCATTAATCATTTGGATAATAGAGCGGCAAGTATGCTGATAAAATTTGTGGCCAACACCAACCTGGGAGGAGTTGCAAACACTTTGACAGATAAGATTAGAATTCAAAATGACCATAACAACTTGGAGAATTGGTGTGACATCAACAAGATGACATTCAATATGGATAAGTTCAAAGTACTACACTTAGGAAGGAAAAAATCAAATGCATGATTACAAAATGGGGAATAACTGGCTAGACAGTAGTATTGCTGAAAAGGATCTGGCGTCATAGTGGATCACAAACTGAATATGTCAACAATGTGATGCAGTTGCAAAAAGGCCAATAGCATTCTGGGCTGCATTATCAGAAATGTTTTATGTAAGACATGGGAGGTAACTGTCCCACTCCGCTCAGCACTGGTGAGGCCTCAGCTGGAATATTGTGTCCAGTTCTGAGTGTCAGACTTTAAGAAAGATGGGGATAAACTGGAGAGAGTCCAGAGGAGAGCAACAAAAACTGACTTATAAGGAAAGGTTAAAAAAACTGTGTATGTTTAATCTTGAGACAAGAAGACTGAGCGGGGAACTGATCACAGTCTTCAAATTTAAGGGGTGTTAGAGGGAATATGGTGATCAATTGTTCTCCATGTCCACAGAAGGTAGGACAAGTAGTAATCATCTTAATTTGCAGCAAGGGAGATTTACGTTAGATATAAGGAATAACTTTCCAACTATAAGGACAGTTAAACACTGGAATTGGCTTTCAAGGGAGGTTGTGGAATCTCCATCATTGAAGGTTTTTAAGACCAGATTGGACAAACACCTGTCAGAGATGATCTAGGTTTACTTGGTCCTGCCTCAATGCCAGGGACTGGACTTGATGACCTCCCAAGGTCCCTTCCAGCCCTACATTTCTGTCAGTCTATGACTGATCTTTAGGACCAGGAAAAGGGGGGGGGGGGAAACCCCTCTAGATCCAGGTTAAGTATCTCCACAATATCCTTTGTGTTGAAAAGTGATACAGATTATTCATTTAGCTCCTCAGCAAGGTCCTTATACTTCTTAATTGCTCCCTTGTGTCCAGCTCACCCATTTGGTGTTTCTGATATACTTTAAGCATTTCTTGCTATTTGCGTTATACCTTCAAATTCTCTTTTAGCCCTAGTCCTAATTTCCTTTATGTAGTTATAGCCTACTCTAACTTATGACACCCTTCTGCCAGGTGTCAATGACAGCAACAAGCTAGGTTCAGTCTGTCTAGGGGCGGGGGGGCACTGTCACAACAGTTCTCTAATCCAGGGGTTCTCAAACTTGATTGAACCGCGACACCCTTCTGACAACAAAAATTACTACATGACCCCAGGATGGGGGACCAAAACCTAATCCTGCCCGAGCCCCACTGCCCCAGGAGAGGGGGTCAAAGCCGAAGCCCAAGGGCTTCAGCCCCAGGCCAGGGGCCTGTAACCCGAGCCCTGCCATCCTGGGCTGAAGCCCTTGGGCTTTGGCCCCGGGCCCCAGCAAGTCTAACTCCAGCTTTGGCGCCCCCTTTAAAACCCCGCTATGGGGTCCCAACCCACAGTTTGAGAACCATTGCTCTAATCCAAGTTCTCTTTAGCTCACACAGAAGCAGCCTGTGATCTTCTTAATAACCCAACCATTCACTTTAGGGCATTTCCAAAATTCATTGAACTGCCTTGACAAAGAAAGGTTTTGAATTTCTTTTGAGTCTGCTTTCAAAGACAAAATTATGCAGGTCAAGCTATTGTCCATGGAGTAGTCTGGTTAACTCTGACAAAGACCTTTCATGATCAGTTCCCAAAGCCTTATGCCTATACTTCACATCTGTCCTTAATGATGAACAACAGTCATCTGCATTGAATTAAAAATTCCCTCCTTTCTTTTCCCCATAGACTGGGCATTATCAACACTTTTTCTTACTGCCTCAGAAATATGGAATTACAGCTTCTACTTACTGGATTCTTAAATTATATGACAAGTATCAAATAAATACAAAGCTATATTTCCCAGAAGGTCAGCTGGTAGCTTAAGTTACTAAGTACAGTATAGTTCAAATATTGATTACCTTATATAGAGCAATTCCTAAACCCTAATGAAAATGCAATATATAGACAGCCAGGAAATCTAACAACTGCCCTGACGCTCCATAGTGCTAATTGGAGTCTTCCTGAAATTCAGGATTTCTGTGTTGATTATAAAGAAAAGGGTTACTCCAAACTGTACTTTCAATGAAGCAACTGTTTTCACCTCTAATGGAGTTCCGTTCTGTTCTCTCTTTCACTTTTATCTTTGGTTTATTTTAGGGGGACGGTAGAGGTTCCAAAGAAATCCCCGTCACATTCATTTCCCCGTCCGCAGCATAGATCTGATGAGAGAAAAGTAGTACACAAAAATCTTTACTGGATCAATGCACTAGTTATCGCCAGACATAGTGATTATAATTTGATCTGTGTGTTCCCATATACTCTCATTCTTATAGCGCCATTTGTAGTACAGAAAGCCAGAGAGTGGGAAACCATGGGTGGGATTTTAACAAGAACGGCGTGGGCCTCACCTCTCCCGCTGAAGTAAATGGCAGAACTCCCACTGATTTCAGTAGATGCAGCACTGGGCCAGCTGAATGGTTTGAAAGTCATATTCCGCTGCGTGAGGCGGGTGAACGATCGTCTCAGTTAGGCTACAATTCTCTGCGGCACAGGTCCTATGTCATAGTGACAGCCTTGATTGGGGGTTATTATGACAGAGGACACAAAACCTTGGCTCAAAATGCCGCTAGTCAGAGGGAGCAGCACGAAGCCTGTCGTCTGGGGAAGGTTATTCAATCACTTCAAAACGGACCATTTTCACACTGTGCTGTGAGATTTCAAATTTATAATTTTATTATCATCTGAATAGAGGTGATATTTAAAAAGCAGAGAAAATGACTATACAAAGAATTTATAGAACATTCATTTACATACTGGAGACTTTTTGTTTGTTTTGTTTTTTACAGTTTCAAGAAAAAGGCAAAAATGTTCACTAATAGGTAAGGCAGAGAAGGAAACATTAAAATTTTAAGGATACTTTTGGATACATGGGAACCATTTAATTAAAAACCTTTAAAAACATGGCTTTCAGCATTTTTGTAGTTTAACACTGTAAGATTATAGTAGTACATTTAACAAGCAGGTTAATAGGAGCGTGGTTAAATACACGAGGCAACTTTGCTGGCATTACTTATGAGACTGCATATACACATCTATCAAAATCCTTAGAAGGAAAGTGCTATACTATTTAGTCATGTATTTACCATGAACCAAAGTTGTATGAATGTGTTTATGTATATACTACACAGTTATATTTACTGTACTATTTTGCTTTGTGTTTTTAAATATATTCCATATGAAAACAAAGCATGTAATATACCATAAAAAGGAACACACATAAGAAAGCGTCTCTTAGTAACTATGGCAATTTCCTCCTACCCATTACTCAGTGCAACCTAAGTCCCCAAGTAAGCACCTTGAAGAGCCCAGACCGGAATTCCTAGTGCTCCTAAAAGCCCACCAAATTCAATAGGTTTTTAGAATTCACAAGGAATGCAGAATAAGGCCCACAGTAGCAAAGCCTGTCTATTGGAAATCAAACTTTCCATCCTTAGCGGAATGGGGCCAAAGGCTGCACAGTGGCTGACACCAGCTTTTATGGGGACACGCAAACCTAACTTATCTCACACAGAATCCGAGAGCCATAATTCACACGATGGGTTAGACTGAGTGCAGGTGTGACTCCACTGATGTCCCGAGAGAAGAATCTCCAGCTGGAATGCAGAAGAAATTTCAGTTGAGAATATTCAATAAGTTCCAACTGGCCAGCTAGGTTTCAGAACCGAGTAATGGATCTATCAGCCTTCTGGTTCCTGAGGATGTGGGTCCTCCAAATGAAACCAAAAGAGACCAACATTAACCAACAGAGACCAATTTGTTTATTCTAATGGAACCCACCAGAATTCCTACTTGGCCCACTGGTCCCAATGTTTTTGAAAGGGATCAACGTTACCAAATAAAGAATCACACTGCATTCTTTTTAGATGGTACAAAACCATTGTTTGATTAATTAACCTGTTTGATGGAAGAATGAAAATATTTGGTACAAATCAGAGGCACTTGCCATTGTTGCTTCAATGGTAGCTTTACTTTGAACTGCCTAACCTTTCTATATACATACAATGCCCACTGTTACTAATGTAAGCCACTTCCTGGTCCAAATACATTAATTTGTAATCTTGCCCCAAGCCCCCATACAAAAGTACACAATTATTTACACTGAATTCATGGTTATACAAATAATTTGGTAACAAACTTTGTCCTTGGCCCCTGCATAAGGTGCCTGTGGTTCTTCTAATTCTAAAAAAGGAGTCTGTTTATAAAAGTTAGAACAACTTGTGTTAGGACCTTGATAATCACTACAAAAGGTTTTTTGCCCCCCCCGCTCTCCTGCTGGCAATAGCTCACCTTAAGTGATCACTCTGGTTACAGTGTGTATGGGAACACCCATTGTTTCATGTTCTCTGTGTATATAAATCTCCCCACTGTATTTTCCACTGCATGCATCCGATGAAGTGAGCTGTAGCTCACGAAAGCTTATGCTCCGATAAATTGGTTAGTCTCTAAGGTGCCACTAGTACTCCTTTTCTTTTTGCAAATACAGACTAACACGGCTGCTACTCTGAAACTTGTGTGTGTGTGTGTTTGTGTGCGAATGGTTTTTGGATCAGGATAGGTGGGAAGTTCTTATTTAAGCCAACTCTATAATTTTTCCTATCCCTCCTAACTATTGTCCGGTAAAAAGAGACTGAAGCAATTTAAGTCTCAGAGTGGGGATAGTTACCACTCAGCCCACTGTCTCTTGTGACTGTGTGCACAGAACCCTGCACCTGTATACATCAGGTCACTGATGTGTAGATTTGGCCCTCAAACCGAAGGAACAGAAGTGTTTGGCATGTCAAACAATTGGGAATTTCAGTTGTCTGTAACTTCCAATTCCTGTTTCTGGCCCTGATCCTGTTCCCTTTGGGTGAATGGGAATTTTGCAATAGACTTCAAATGGGCCCTCCGCTCTCACAGAAAATTACTACAAGTCACCTACCCTACTTTATAGTATATATATTTTTGTTATAAAACTAACTATAGCATTTATAACATTTAGTTTTATAAAATACAGATGCCACTACGTTGGCTTACTCGGACATATGAAGGACACGTGTGACAGATTGTCTTGGACACGGATAAGAGTAACAAAAAATATTCTTTTCCCTTTTGGATTTCTTGACTCAAGAAATTATTTTAAAAATTCATCTATAAAATTTAACACTAATCCATACAAATTGAAAAACAAAAAAACGAAACCCCACCTTTCATTAAAAAAAAAATCTGTCAAAAAGAACCTATGTATGTAAGAAACTATGAGGAGGGAGGACCGATTTCATAGTCAAAGCATTATTTCAGAGACACATGAGCTAGGAAGTGGTTTAATACCGTAAAACAAGAGTCTAAATGTGAAACTCTACCCTATAGTAAGGCACATGCGACATACTATACTTATGCAAAATAAAACTAAGAAGGCAAAGATCATGAATGGCTTTACTATAAGAACACTCATATAATATATCAAGATTTGACGTCTACTATAAATAATCTGGCAGAGGCAAAAATATAAATTATATAAAATCATTTTCTTCTTTGCTTTTCCCTCATTTTTATCCTGTGATTATTAAAATACAGCATCTTTCCTGCTTAACTCTTCATATAAAAATAATAACAAAAATACCATTAACAGAATACATCAAGCTTTCTCCACACGACTCTTTTTGGTTATCCCTCTCCCATTTAAAATTATACAAGCTAAATAAACTCAGCCTTCTTTATACTAAACATGGAGTAATGTCCCTGGAAAATCCATGTCTCTGCACCATTTTTAAAAGAAATCAACCTGCACTAACCTTTCCCTAACATACATCTTCCCCCTTCTCAGTCAACTCCCAACATTATCATATAAAGATGAAGGGAAGAGCAAATGGTCCCTCACAAACCACCACTCTCTTAAGAGCATCGGTTTGCCAGGCCTATAGCTACCACTGATGCAACTGTGGCAAGTGTCTAAGAGAATGCTTGTGGTTCTAATAAATTTTCCTACAGGAAAAAAAAAAAAAAAAAAAAGGCATGATCTAATGAGTTGGCAAATTCTTCCTTTTCTGATACAAGATGGAAAATGGTGCGTGAAAATATAATTAAAAACCTGCACTATAAAGCCTTTCTTCTCTGTTTAATTCAGACATGGATTATGCGGGTTTTGGTGCATCCAACTGCATTCACTCACAATTTTGCCCTTTGATGTAAAAATACAATGCTTTGATAGGTCAGAGGCATCTTCAAAGAAAGGATCACACTCTTTGTAACGTTATGCAGATGGAACATCCTCTGCTTTCCTTCTTGGGAATGGTTAGGTTTGGATAATGTAGCTGCAAACTCCCAAGAACGCTTTTTCTCCCACGCTGCCTTCCCCCAGTCAGTGAAGAGCTCTGAACCAAAGGCTAGGAAAGCTTCAGATTTTCTTCTGGGAACCAATCATGACCTTTGATACAAAGTTCACAATGGCACTGGCAGGTTGCTCTGGATCGTGCTCTGCAAACAGGTGGCACACGTTATCCGTGGCGCTGCCTTGCTTCCTTGCAACAAATCCGAACACTCTGCAGGAGGCAAAAACAAAAACATGTTACAGAACAGAAGGCATCTTATTTCAAAAAAGCAAAAGGTTTACTTTCTTCCACCAAACATTACTTTTTGAAAAAGAAAGTACTTTGCTGCAGAGTTCCAGTAATTGCACCTACTTTTGTCACACCAGTTTAGAGAGTTAGCAACATCTGACTTTGATTGCTGTTACTGGAGACCATGTGGTTCAGCAGTAGGTAGAGCACAAGACTGGGCGGGGGAGAGGTCAGGGGAGAGAGAAATCAAATGACCATGTTTCTATTCCTGGCTCTGTCACTGACTCACTCTAAAACTCTGGACAACTCACTTAGACTTACTATTTAAAACGCGTATGCTAATTTTGTGTAACATGTTCTGGCGTGACACAACTAGGTCCTGAATTGCAGAGGTGCTGAGCACCTAGAACACAACTGAAGTCAATGAGCACAGTAGAATGGACTTAGGCACCCCTTCCACCCCTCAATAGCTGCTCCCCCTACCCCTTCCTTCCACTTTTCTAACTAATAAGAAAGCTCT